ATTTACTTCCAGACTTTTTCTTCTGCTTCTCTATTGTCTTAAGGATCCTCTGCTGTCTCCCTGCCTGGAGGAACAAGGCTGTGACCCCAGAGGAAGGGATCCACGTGAGGGGGCAACTGGCCCTTCGGGCCATTGGATGTCCCGAGCCGGCCATTCATGCCGTGGTCTCGGGTTTGCTTCCTTCTGTTCGTCCAGAGCTTTAGTTCCCCCAGGGGAAGAGCATGCGACTCTTGATCTCAGGGTCACGGGTTCGAGCACAATCCTGGCTCTTTTCTCCCTCTTCTCCAGGTCAGCGGCTGGCTTGGAAGGAGCTGGCATTCTAGAAACAGCGCGTGAAAGGTGCTAGCATCGCTGCAGTTGAGAACTTGCTTATCATTCGTCAACAAAAGCCACACCCAACGCCCATGGAGTCCTGGCAACACGAGACCCTGGCCACCGCACCCGAAGTGCGTGTGTGTGTGTGTGTGTGTGTGTGTGTGCACGCGTGCTATCCGAAAGTGAGGAGTGAGCTGGATTGGGGGCCATCATCGATTTTCCATAGACAAATGCTTTACATTTTGGTAAACCCTTTGTAGCATCTCAGTCAAATTATACTGAGGCCCCTCAAGTCAGATTTATCGTCCATAGGATTCCACTTAACGGAGACAAGCAATGCAATTTAAGGGCCATTTAAAGGGTATTTCATTTGGAGACAGAACCAATCCTTATCAGGGCCCTGGAGGTAACAAGAAATCTTCTTCCTCTCATTTGCTTAGAAGCAGGTGCCTTCCAGTGCATGGGGGCGGAGCAGCCCCTGGAACATTGTCAGTGGCTCAGAGTAGTAGATTTTATGCCCCGTGTTCATTAAGGGGGAAATGATCAAAAGGAGGGGATTCAAAAGAAAGCAGGACCCACCTACGGCATTCAGAGCCTTTCGAAGACAGGAAGAGGTGTTCATTCTGAGTGTACCGATTACTGTGAGACGCTTCTCCGGCCCCTGCTGCAGCCCCCGTCAGAGCATGAGACTCAGGATCCAGGCACTGGCTGGATTTCCATCCCCACTTGGCCCCTTGAAATAGCCTTTTTGAGCAAGGCACAACCTGTACAACCGTACACGGCAGCCCTGGGAGAAAGACATCAGGAACTTCACATACACATGTTACCCCCCTTAATGCTCAACACGCTCAGAGGTTTTAATCACTGTCTCCATTTCTCACATGCAGATGGCTGGGAGAGAGTAAGCGCTATGTTCATATACAGGTAGATTCAGCTGGGGTTCTAATCCAGGACTATCTGATTCGAAATTCCAACCGCTAGGGGCGCCTGGCTGGCTCAGTCGGAAGAGCATGCGACGCCTGATCTCGGGGTCGTGAGTTCGAGCCCCACGTTGGGGGTAGAGATTACTTAAGTAAAATAATTTTTTTTTGGAGAATTATATGTATTGTGACAGAATATTTGCTATTTACATTTTAAGTAAAATAATTTTTAAGATACATGAATGAACGAATGAATGAATGAATTAATGAATCAATCAATCAATCAGTCTCATCCTCTCTTCTGATTCACCATGGAATGTGAGTCCAACTGGAGGGTTTGGGTAATCTCTTTCCAGGGAAAAAGGAAGGGCTGGCAGGTCTGAGCCTCAAGTCATCGGAGATGCTTTTGAAAAGGGGGTGCAGATACCCTCTGGTGGCCATCCAGCTTCGGCTACGAGGCTCCGGCAGTCACAGGGAGGCTCAGCTTTGTCTGTCTACAAAGTTCTGCCTGCTGTAACCTCCCTCCCGCTGACCCAGAGGAAACAGGATTAGTGGGTGATGACTGCAGGTCCCTGCTTTCCAGGACCCACGGCAAGGCTGGAAAGGGACAGGAGACTGGTCGCTGCCCCATTCCCAGTCTCAGATCTGCTCCTGAAAATTGCAGCCAAAGCCCTTTCCTGCCTTTCTTCCAGGGCTGTGAGCATCAGAGATGAAGCAAGTTAAATGCGGAAATAAAGGGGCATCTGGGGGGCTCAGCCGGTGAAACGTCTGACTCCCGATCTCAACTCTGGTCATGATCTCATGGGTCGTGAGTTCGAGCCCCACACTGAGCTCTGTGCTGACTGTGCAGAGCCTGCTTGGGATTCTCCCTCTCTCTGCCTTCCCCCCTGCTTGTTCTCTCCCTCTCTCTCTAAATGAATAAATAAACTTTAAAAGATTATATAAAAAAAAGAATTGGCAAAGTAAAGAAAGTATATTGAGTTTTTAACTCCATAAGTTCCTGTGATTATATATTGTTCTGTAAGTAATACATTTATTTATGTAAGTTATACATGTATTACTTACATTCTGTAAGTTATACATTTTTTTATGTAAGTTCTAACACAATGAGTTTTTAATATATGTTTTTAAGCAAAATTTATTCCATTTCAAGAAGTTTTATGGTGACACTAAAACTTTTTTACTGTTTTGTTTTTAAAATCCTTTGGGGCGCCTGGGTGGCGCAGTCGGTTGAGCGTCCGACTTCAGCCAGGTCACGATCTCGCGGTCTGTGAGTTCGAGCCCCGCGTCGGGCTCTGGGCTGATGGCTCAGAGCCTGGAGCCTGTTTCCCATTCTGTGTCTCCCTCTCTCTCTGCCCCTCCCCTGTTCATGCTCTGTCTCTCTCTGTCGCAAAAATAAAATAAACGTTGAAAAAAAAATTAAAAAAAAAATCCTTTGATTAAAAGGGTGCCTGGGTGGCTTAGTCAGTTAAGTGTTCGACTTTGGCTCAGGTCATGAGCTCACGGCTTGTGTGTTCGAGCCCCGCATCGGGCTCTGGGCTGACGGCTCAGAGCCTGGAGCCTGCTTTGGATTCCACGTCTCCCTCTCTTTCTGCCCCTAACCCAGACTTAGAGAATTAATGTTTACTGACTACCAGTCTTGTTATTTCATATGCACGACACCCTGCACGATTAATATTTCCGATTCAAGGGGACGCCGTTTCCCTAAGAATTTGTGTATCTTGTCCAATCTTTCGTAGTTACGGAGCTGAAGATCTGAATACGGGCTCCTCTGATCCCCAAACACCCACATCTTTCATTTGTTTGTGTTGCTGTTTTTTGCTTGACCACATATTTAATACCTTCCTTTATTCCTGTAGTTCCACAGTGGGGTACTCAGAGGAAACTTGCTGGCTTCAAATATAATCAGTAAATTTTCATTAATTCTTTCCCGGGGTGTCCACAATATTGAATATATATGGCTGTGGAAACCATATCTGACCCAGTCGGACAGGTGTTTATAGTCTGTAACTCAATGCATCCAAAAGAGAGCTATTAGCAAATTAAAACCCCATTCCGTGGGCTTCCTGGTTTGCTTAGATCAGTGATTCTTAAAATTTTTCAGGTCCACTGGAAATTAGACTCCACAAAGGCAGGTGTTTTGTCTTGTTTTATTCACTAGTATACTTTTTACACCTAGACCCGAATAAACACTCAGAGTATTTGTTGAATGAATGAATGAATGAATGAACGAAGACAGACTCATTTGAGTATCTGATAAAAGCTATGGACTATCTTTCCAGAAAAAATGCACAGAGGTACACGGGCAAAATCGTGCATAGCATTTTCAGATTCGATGGACAACCCCCCAGCCTTGTCCCGAAAACGATCTAAAAGCTTAGACTATTTTCTCATGGGGAAATGGCCCTTGACACTTTCCATGATGGATGGGATCAAGGCCCTTGGGCTCTGGACCCTTCTTCCATGCTGATGGTCACCTGGGCAGTGTGAGGCCATTGACACCTTGGATCACTCCACACTTCACCTATTTTTAAAAATTTTTTTAATGTTTTTATTTATTTTTTTGAGACAGAGAGAGAGAGAGAGAGCATGAGCAGGGGAGGGGCAGAGAGAGAGGGAGACACAGAATCGGAAGCAGGCTCCAGGCTCTGAGCGGTCAGCACAGAGCCTGACACGGGGCTCGAACTCACGGACCATGAGATCATGACCTGAGCTGAAGTCGGACTCTCCACCGACTGAGCCACCCAGGTGCCCCATCACACTTCACCTGTTTCACCATGTTATGCATTTTACATATAATTGATCTAGTCTTCATGTCAACCCTACCAAGTTGATATCGTGATCCCTGCTTTTCATCTTCTAAAACTTAATTTTCATTTCTGAGGTATGTTAGCCCAGTATACTAGTTTCAAGTGCACGATATAATGATCGGATATTTGTATGCATTGCAAAATGATCACCATAATAAGTGTGTTTAACATCTGTCACCAAACGTAGTTGCAAAAGGATTTTTTTTCTTGTTTTTCTTCTGATGAGGACTTTCAACATCTACTCTCTTAGCAACTTTTAAACAGGGCAATACCATTAATATTAGCTGTAGTCACCCCACTCTACCTTACATCCTCACGACTTACTTATTTAAAAAATTTTTTTTTTATGTTTTATTTTTTATATTTGAGAGAGAGACAGAGAGGCAGAGAGAGAAGGGGGTGGGGCGGGCAGAGAGACAGAGGTAGAATCCAAAGCAGGCTCCAGGCTCTGAGCCATCAGCACAGAGCCCGATGAGGGTCTCGAACCCACAAACTGTGAGATCATGACCTGAGCTGAAGTCAGACGCTCAACAGACTGAGCCACCCAGGCGCCCCACGACTTCTTTTATAACTGGAGGCTTGTACCTTTTGACCCCCTGCACCCATCCTGCCTCCCCTCCCCCACAAAAAACCACCAATTGGAAGACAGCAGCAAAGATTAAAAGGCAAGAGCATTTCACTTGCACATACATGATAGTCACACCCTGAAACAGTTGTTTCCACGGCTTGACAAAGTAGCAAAAGTGTAAGAACACCAGGGTCCAATGTTCTTTGTGAAAGGGTGTCTCCTAACAGCCATTCTTTCATTCAAGAAAAAAAAAAAAAAAACCAACAAAACAACAACAAAAAAAAACCTCCCAAAGAGACACAGGGTAAGTCCCCAAATAAGATTTGGGTTCAAATCAGAGTTGATATGACTGCAGACTTACAAGCGTTTCATCTTTATTAGGAAAAACTTCACACACACACACACACACACACACACACACAAAGGCAGAGGCAACCATTCACGGAAGCACCATGTTGCATCAGCAACCATCAGAGTTCCGCCAATCTTGTTTCCTGCTCGTGGCAATATTTTTAGGTCATTTTTTCCTCGATGCCTCAACTGCATCCCAGCGAAGACATCCCAGCAGAGGCAACCTGACTCGTGCTTAACATCACCATCTGTTTTTGTGTTATATATATAGTTGAAAGATCAAGGGGTTTGTGGGCAGCAAAATCCGCTCATCAAATGCAAAGAGAGTGCAATTTTGTGTCATGCCCGCGCAGAGGAGAGAAGGACCACCACCGGCATAACCAAGGAGGCTGAAAAAGTCGTTCTTTCAATCTGGCAAAGGCAGGTTCCCTGGGCCGTGTTGAATCAAGCTGTATTCCCCAAGTACTTGGGTCTTTTATATTAGTTTCACTAGGGTAGTTCTGGTTCATACTTGTAGCGGAGCTTGGTAAATGAGAGGCCACCTGAGAAGCAATTAAACTAAACCAGAAAATCTTTCCTGTCCATTTCATCTTGTCCTTAAATAGTTTACACATCAATTGAACTGGGAGGTGGTTTATGGTGATTACTCCAGTAGGGGTCAGCGCCTAATGAGTTGGGTACTTATCTGTGACCCCAACAAGATGACTGTAAATGAGCAGATAAGAGGACCACTGAGACTCGTTCTCGAAGCTGCCCATGGAATGAAGATAACGGGGGCTGACGGAATTATGTAGACGGAAAAGCAGAGCTGGTGAAGCTAGGTGGATTGGAACACCTTGGGTTCTCGTAGTGAGAAAAATCAGGGGCTTACCTTACCCAGGACAACTTACGAAATGCTTACGCAACCTGCTCTTTCTCCTGGGTCCCGCCACACTTCGTCTTTCTGGTAAACTTGCGGTTCCCGTCAAGAGATTCCACGGAGGAGGACGCCTTCACTTATCGCAGGAGACGTATCGGTTTAGTGGAACGCACAGTGAAGTGAAGAGCACGTGCCATCACAGCAACACCCTGAAAACGGCAGGACAAAACAAAAGAAAATCTTAGGAAAAGTGCACTTGTGGAGTAAATGATAAAATTGTAGCCACACACTGTGTGGCATAATCAAAATGCTCAATGATTTGCAGAGTCGAACCAGTAACCTCGTCCCCCTCCCCGATTTACTAGCTATATTATCTAGGTGTTCTTGGGGTTTTTTGTTTGTTTCGTTTTGTGTTTGTTTTTGTTTTTCTGTGAGCTGTTGTAAGCCACCAACCAAATCTCAGGGCCTCGCAGCAACAGATATTTGTTTCAAGCTTAGGGGTTGAGGTTTGGCTGTGGTTCGGCCGATCTTACCTGGGCTCGGCGGGGCTGCCTTAGATCCGAGCTTGTTCCCCACACGTTCATCCCGAGACCCAAGCTGAAGGACCAACAGCTTCCGGGGGTCTATGTCTATCTATTTTGCTCACTACAGAGGGCAGATGCTCAGTAGGGCTGGTGGAAATTTGCTAACTTCTTTAACCCTCAGCACCTTATGAAAGCGAATTGCACGGTCGAGTCCAAAGTTGGCTGGAGGCATAGACTCCCCGGACTCTAGTGGAAGGTATTTCAAAGTCCTAGGGAAAGAGGCACGGAGACAGAAATTCTCTTCTGAGAATGAAGAGTTGGGAAGGTTAATTCAACCTCCCACACAAAAAAAAACCCACACAAGCAGCCAACTTCTGCCAAACTTGGCAGAAACGTCCGTCGGTGTCTCGACACAACTTGACCGATCTGCTGACTTGTGGCCACTTTGGCAAGACAGAACGGTCTCCGGTTCTTTAACAGTGGCACCAGTGACCCCATTTACACGCCATCAGCATGCAGTAAGGCATGGGATTCTTCTCTTCTCCAACCAAACGTCACTCACTGCTCTCGCGGAGAGGAATAAGTCACTTAGCAAGCACACCGGAGTTAAAAAAAAAAAAAAAAAAAAAAAAGCTCCGTACATTATTTGGATGAGGACTACTGGCTCCCTCCTAAGTGGTTTAATAGAAAGGGTGTTATTTTAGTTGAAAAGTTTGATTGAGTGATTTACTTACTAAAATGTTTATTTATTTTTGAGGGAGAAAGAGAGACACAGAGCGTGAGCAGGGGAGGGGCAGAGAGAGAGGGAGACACAGAATCGGAAGCAGGCTCCAGGCTCCGAGCGGTCAGCACAGAGCCCGACGGGGGGCTCGAACTCACAAACGGCGAGATCATGACCTGAGCTGAAGTCAGACGTTTAAACCAGCCGAGCCACCCAAGTGCCCCTGAGAAGTTTCAACATACAGGGGACTCCTGTGGCAGTTAACTTTCAAGGTTAATATTTTTCTTCTTCCTGGGTTGCTTGAGAGAAGCTGGAAAGTTCCATGGCCTTGGCAGGGGACCCAGAGCCTTTCCATCTCATGCTGCACTCACTGGTGCCCCAGCAGGGAGAAGGCACGAGGCAGGTGGACCATGGGGACGGGCTGGAGTGACGTCTCGCGCGTTCTTCTTCCCACCCTGGGTGGTCCGCATCATCGGAGACGGGGCTCACACACCCAGACGCCTCTGCTGCTGGATCTATAACAGGACTGAGAGGCGCTGCCCAGGAGTCAGGAAAACAAGCGCATAGGCGTGATGATGGGTGGTAACTGACACTCAGCCTTGGTGTCGGGGAGGCGATAGAGTGTGTGGTGAAGATTGAGATCACGTGGACGGCACGGGCCCGTCTAGGAGAGAAGCCGTTCCCTAATTAGCTTCAGCTAACCGCCAAGTGCAAGTGTGGGGCTTACGTTGGCGGATATTAGAGTTTTTCAGGAGACACCAGACATCTAGACATAATCTCCTCATTTTTGAAATGTTGACAAGGATAATAAAAGCCGTAGAAAGAAAGGGAGGGAGGGAGGAAGGGAGAGAAGGAAGAAGAAAATCACTTAGCAGACTCACCCTGTAAGTCAACAGAAGCCCTTCACAAGCCAAGGACAGCCAGGATGGCCAATCTGTAACTTCAGGGTATGAGATGACATCTGTGCCCCCATGGGAGCTGGAAACAGAAAGACACTGGGGAGGGAGCGATACAGTTGCTCCCAGCTTCTCCTGAGTCAGACCATCAGGCCATAGCTTCCTTATTTTGTAAGAAGTGACATGAACCCCATAAATAACAAATCCATACTCAAACATAAATACACAAATGCATTTTTTAGATGTCTATTTATTTTGGGGATAGATAGAGACACATGAGTGGGGGAGGAGAAGGAAGAGGGGGAGACACAGAATCGGAAGCAGGCTCCAGGCTCTGAGCTGTCAGCACAGAGCCCGACGTGGGGCTCGAACTCACCAACTATGAGATCCTGACCTGAGCCGAAGTCGGAAGCTGAACCAACTGAGCCACCCAGGCGCCCGACAAATGCATTTTTAAAGCAAAGCATCCAGGATTAAGTAACTATACAGTCCTTTGAATTACCCATGTTATTACTCCCAGGAATGTGGATAACGGAATTTGAAATCCGGATTTAATTTAGGATCTACTAACGCAATAAAAAAGAATGAGGGGGCCCCTGGGTGGCTCAGTCGGTTGAGCATCGGACTTCAGCTCAGGTCATGATCTCACGGTTGTGGGTTCGGGACCCGTGTCGGGCTCTGTGCCGACCGCTCAGAGTCTGGAGCCTGCTTCGGATTCTGTGTCTCCCCCTCTCTCTCTGCCCCTCCCCCACTCACGCTCTGTCTGTCTCTGTCTCTCTAAAATAAATAAATGTTAAAAAAAATTTTTTTTAAATGAGCAGGTGCTTATGGAATGTGTATTGTGGGTTAACACCATGCTAGGCACTGCATGGACTGTAGCATAAAGGCGGCCTCTCGATGTCCAGAGGGGACACTGGTATTAAGAGTCATAGCTGTGGGGACAGCCAGCCGTGATTCCACCTATGTTGTCTCCTCACAACCCGTGTGCCTTCACGAGGGCTTAATTTCCTAAACCTGCCTTTCATCATGGAAAGCTGAGTACCTCTCAGAGTTGCAGAATGAATTTGTGATAGATTACTTAAAACCCTAAGCTCGTAGCTGGTGACATTCCCTGGGAGAACTTTTTAACACTTCTGTGCCTCAGTTTCCTCCTCTATGTAAGGGGATAACAGTAGGTCCTGGCTCAGAAAAATGATATGAGGAGTAAATGAGATCATGTGTATACAGGGCTTAGAATGTAGCTCAATACTGAGTACTTACCCCATATATATAAAAATAGTGACTATTTTCTTCAATACTTATTACTATTATTATGTAGACTCATTATTAGAAAAAATGTATCAAGATTGTAATGGTCTTTCTTGTCCCCAGAAAGGTATTTTTCATAAACAGAATGCTCTTTATAATCCCAGGAACTTACTGGCCCTTTGGCTCACACCTTTCCTGTGGGCGGAAGTGGTAACTAAATGCTTTGGTTTACAAGAGAGAAAATGAGACCCCTCTGGCCGTGTCAGTATACAGATGGAGGTGGGCACGGTATTAGCATGGGACTTGCTGCCAGCTCCAGGGGACAGAAGCCACGTGTGTGTTGTCTTCTGTCGTATCCGTAGGGTCAGACCCACGGGAGATGTTTCATGTGTCCCAACAAGCATGCGCACACACGCAAGATGGATGGATTAAGCTAAGGTAGGAACAAATCTCGGGGAGGCCATTTCCTGCCTGGCCTCTACAATGACCTTCCTGCCCCTGTTTTCCTGGAGCCCAGCTCTCCGCCAGAATTGCACGAGGGCAGGATCCTTGGACGCTCAGTGCATGCAGACCCTTGGGAGGAGGAGGAGAAGCTGGTACGGGAAGAAGGGCAGTCAAGGAGAGAAGAAGAAAATGAGCTCCGGGGTTTTGTGATACCCTCACTTCCCAGCTTGTAAATTGCATTCTTTCGGAAGAATTGAGAGGAGAGGAGCAGGTGGGCTGGATGCTTCACGTCCTCAGCCATGTGTCTCGGAGGAAAAGGCTTAATGTACTTAGTCCTCAGTTTCCCCATTTGCAACCGTAACATTTAAGTGTCTGAAAGGTACTTGGAGATCCTCGAAAGAAAGGCACCCCATAAAGGCAAATGGTTCTCATTATCCCGTGGGCTCTTCGCTCCTGGCTTCCAGGCAGCTCGTGCCGTAGATGTCGCAGATGTCTGGGATGGATGTCACCTGGGAGAGCAGTTAAGGAGTAGGATGCAGGGAGGCGACGTGGGCTGCTGAGGAACGGAGAGAGCAGACTGGCCGTTTTCTGGTGGTTGCTTGATCGAGAGCCCCCTCCTGCTCGGAAGGGAAGCCTGGCGGAGAGCTTTGTTTGATATGAACAGAGTCCCCCGAACGGTGAGTGGAGACAAGAAGCAGGCCTACGTGGGGCTCTAGTGTGGGGGAGGGTTCAGCGGAGAAACAGAGATGCCATCTGCCACCTCCCTCCCTGGTTACCTAGTGGAGAGAGGGCTCCCCGAGGTGCACGGCTTGTTTTGGAACTTGAATCATGAGAAACAGCTGTGTTCCACCCTCCTGAGGTATCCGGTCAGCTCCTTTTTTCCCGGGGCCCCTAAGAACTGTATAAGCTTCCCCGCAGGGTGATGATGGCACAGGGCAGGTCGAGTGGTCAGGGTGGGTCAGGTACTGAGTTGCTGAAGGCTCGGCAAGGCTGCCTCCAAAGAGCATGCGGGCCAGTGGACCTAAAGCGAACGCGCGGACAGAGAGGTGGATTCCAAACACAGGCACACTCGTGCACACGCACTCTGGCGCGCGTGTCTCCCCAAACACAAGCCCGCGGAGGCGCACAGACCGCGAGAACGCATCCGTGTGCGGAGTTGCGGAAGGTTACGTCCCCGAGAAAGGGAGAGATGTGTCAGTATGTGCGAGGTACAGTGTTATTGACCCTAAACAAAAAGGAACGTGTTGAAAGTAAACGTTTTTTTCAAGTTTCTGTGGTTATTTCGAGAGAGAGAGAGAGAGAAAGAAAACGGGCGTGCGAGTGGGGGAGGGGCAGAGAGCGAGGAAGACCGAGAATTCCAAGCAGGGTCCACAACA